CACACACACACACACACACACACACACACACACTTCCGTCAGTTTTACGACAATAATATGATGCGTGCCATACCTGTGTCTGCTGGCAAAAAGCTCAGAACATGATCGAGTAATATAGCACGCCAGCGGTGTTTTTTTAAATTTTGTTTTCTGCACTGCATTTGTTTGTTTTTTTGTTTTGTTTGTTTTTTGTAAGTATTTTACGATGCTCGAAACTGCATAAGGTCATATGAGCGCGCGGTACACACTTTCAGTTTGGTAGGAATTACTTTTGAATTTTGCCTGAGCACCAGCCGAAGCCTACTCTTATAGATTTTAGGACCGCCAAGGGTTTCTTATAGTGCGTAACTTGCATACGGGACCTCCGAGATTTTTTTCGCCTTTTGGTTGAAGCAAATTGCAGAAGACCGCTTATGACGAATATACGAAAGCGACAGGCAAATTTCTTCGGACACACAATGCGGAAAGAAGCATTGGAGAATATTGTAACAACATGCAAGTTTGATGGAAAGAGAGGCAGAGGTATACATAGGGAAAAGATACTGGACAAGATGACAACATGTCTGGGAGCAGCAAGAACAACAGACACCATTGCAAGACAGAGTGAAGTGGAAGTCCATGATCGAACACACCAGTCGGCAAGGCACCGGATGATGATGACGATAAGGCTAGATGTTAAATATTATTACACTAAGATCAGGGGTGTGGCTGAAAGACAGCATCAAGAATGAGCAAAGGAGTAGCAGTAGAAAGGTAGAAGAAAGAGTCAGAAGCCCAGTGGAAAGGGGGGGGGGGCAAATAGAGGGAGGGGGGAGCAGAAAGTGAGGACGAAATCGTCAAGAGACAGAATAGGATTAGACAGCAGGAAAGGTAAAAGGGGAACTTTTTTTAGAGAAAAAAATTATGTCGCTCTCAGGTTTTGAACTTGCGACCTATTGAATGAGAAGTGAACACCGTACCTCTAGTCCACGAGACACCCCCTCCCCCCCAAAATAGAGTTCAGCAGCAAATGCGAAAGAGATGATTTGTATACTACTTGTAGCATACATCTAGGAGTACGTCAGACAATGAACATGGCACTGGGCGACTCAAATACCGACTTCAAAACGTTAGTATAGAGGAAGAAGTTTGTCGCAAGGACAATTTATTCTCTCTTACAATTCTGTTTCAAGAAACAACTGGGTACATCATCAACCTCCCACGGTATTGGAACAGAAGAGTCATAGCCTTGTTAGAAACTCATAGCCTTTCATTGAATAACAATCTTTATCGGTGGAATTTATAATAAACCCACCCTTATGTGAGCGGTGTACCTCTCATGAAATTGAAGAGGAATTTCACTTATTTTTTTACAGTCCATATTTTGCCCGTCAAAGGAAATTGTTAATTCCTCCTAACCTGACTCGGCCTAATGACAGAAATACGCAATGTTTGATTCATTATAAAAGAGATATGTGCGCAACCTGTACTTTTTCATCATGGAAACTGCATTTAGTGTTTAACATGATGTTAAGTGGATCAATGGCTTTATACACTGAATAAACGTACTTACTTCAAAACGTTATCGAAATGTGAAACGGACAAAACACACACACACACACACACACACACACACATATACACACACACACACACACACACACACACACACACACACATACACACATGCGCGCGCGCGCACACACACCCACATATGAAAAGAGAGAGCGAAAAGACCTGGTTTACAGTTTCTTCGTCTATTTTTAACTATCATTCGCTATACTGCTCTGGATATGTTTTTTGTTTTTTTAATTCTTGATTTATTTCGCTATCTACTATTCTATGTACACAAAAACTTAATTGCTCCACAAGTCGTTTACCTGCTTGTTTCGTTGGTGTATGTGTATATCTATTTATCATCTCATTTCAAAAAATCAATTTACCTGTTTTAAGTATCATATTTTGCTTCTTCCTTTATCCATATAACTACAAAGCACTTGCGTATCTGTAATCTAATTATAAGCACCATTATGAATTTATTTATTTTCTACCTTTCAATATTTAAAAACATAATAAGATAAAAAGAAAAAAGGATGAGCACAATTTCATGCCACTTAACTTCTCAGTAACAGAACACAACTGTCATTATATTGTAACATATATTTACTGCTAAGAAATTGAACAATACATGTACAACCTAACAAATAAAAAAAGTGATTATAAACAAAGAGGAATGGGTAATCTTCTATTTCAGGAATAACTAGAAAAAAGAAGACCAGATAATGCAGATACAGAATAATATTATAAAGGAAAATGTGGAAAAGAGGAGCATGGGTATATGTTTTACGCGTATTATTTTTACAATACTGACGAAAACGTTTAATTTTTAAAACATTTTCTCCATCTCCTTGTCCTTCTTATTTTCCTTTTCCAAACCCTCCGTTTAACCTCTTCCTCCTCCTCCACCTTCTCTTCCTCTTCATCCACCTCCTTTTCCTCCTCCCCAGCTTTTCCCCCCACCAACCGCCTACCTCATCCTTCACACTTCCTCTTGCTCCTGATCCACCTCCTCTTCCAGCGCCTTCCCCTTCTCTTCTTCTAGATAAAGGTTCTCACCTGAAGTTTTCTCTCCACAGCATTAAGCTTTGTCTGGACACTTTCTTCCACAGCCTTCACCTTTGTGACCACGTCTTCCAGACCCGCCTGGTTTTGTTCTAGACACTCTCTGTTCTCCTCCACGGCTATACTCAGATCCCGTAGGGTGACGTCATGTTTACGGGCAATATAAATCGGGAGACTCTTCTGATAAACGACTTCCTCATTAGGAGAAAAACTTATGATATCACAACGGTACTCGCCGACTGTATCTCTGTCCGCCACTTGCCAAGTTATCTGCAGGAAGCTGTCGCCCCCAGAAGTGATATTGCCATCAGCACGTATGTTTTGTATTTCTGTTCTAACTTCTTCATTGTATTCAATAACCTCTGCCGCAGATTTCCATTTACTTTGATATCTTTTCAAGATTCTCATCCTGGCAATTCCATTGCTGTCATATGCTGGAGGATAGTTGAGGCATCTTAGTGAAATGTTTTTAGTTTTTCCAATTTCGACTTCGCTGAAGGTCACGTTCAGAACAGCTGCCTTCGAGCTCATGAAAACAGCCGCAGCCCAAACTAAGCTCCAAGATATGACGTTGAATGCCATCGTTCACGAAAAAGGATTCAATGACCAAAAAGATAAGAACTCTGGTGTCTCGACAAAAAGTCGAAAAGAAACACTAAGCTATAGTGGAGACAGGAAAAATAATAATATGTAAGGATTTTCAGAACTGTTAGAATCAATATGGCAAGTTAGCTGAGTAGTTTTCTAATGCGCCTAGTCGACTCCAGTCACAGCTCTGTCTGCAGAAGTGTCATTTATCCGCATTTAAATATTTTCAGCGCAAAAAAAGATATTTTCGTTCACCACTTATGTCACCAACACAGATACTGAAACTCGGCTAAACGGAAACTGCTTAATAGCGTTCATCTCTTTATAGCAACACATCGCTCCTCTCGAAATGTCATGAAAAGGCCATCGCAATGTAATACTATTCCATGATAAGTGTTTGTAACGGACTCTATATTTTTGCTCTTTGACTCTGTTCTCAATCTGAACTTCAATAACAGGACAGTTCAGATTTCGAAGTCCGAGTTCTAGAAGTTTCGGCCTGGAGTCTTCAGTATCGAACAAAGTATTGAAAACGCTGCAATGACTTCGGTCGAGATCAGCCAACACAAATAATGTCCATGACTCCAGTACAACTGCTCTTCATCACTTAAACTGATAAGAAAAGAGGCAAATCTAGAAACATATAAGATGAAGGATTCAAGCTCAATCATGTTTGAAGGCGATACTCTCGATGATTCTGATTTTGAATCTTCATGTGCGATACGTTGTACAGTGATGATGAAAAAATATTTCATCGTAGTCCTCTATTGTACCTCGAAGTAAACGTCAACAATATCACAAAGTACATAAAGCACTTGGAGTAGATATACCAGTACATGAACATAAATATACCAAGTTGGTAAAGCTCTGTCACACCCATCTTCAAAGTACAACTCATTTGCTACTCTACATAGCCGAACGACAGTTGGCACATGTGATCTTCATTCAGTTTCTGTTTACAGGGCATGAGATGAATTGACCAATGATTTTCTTTATTCAAAGGAGACAATTCTATTTACACTGACCTTTGCAAATTCCGAATCAAAGTTTGCTCAGTATTGCATGTTTCCTTCCATCTTTATTTACTGCTACAAAACGTCTGTTTATTGACTGAATATATGTCCTTATGATTGCCTGAGGAATCCCGTGCCATTTCTTCTGAAGTGTAGATTTCAGCTCCTGGCGAGTCTACACGGGATGATGCCTATTTCTAATTCTCATTCAAAGTAATCTAAAAGATGTTCTCTTGGGTTGAGGCCTGCTGATCTTGCAGACCAGTCCAGAACATAGATTTGAAGAGTTTGGAAGGATTTTTGACTGATCACGGCCTCATGGGGTCGGAAGTTGTCATGTTGCCGCATTCCATCATCTTTGACATGTAGGGAATGGCACGGGAACGAAGAATTTCCTCACAATATCGTCGTCTTGTGATGTGGTGCTGCTTTGAATAACAACAAAAATAATGTGTACGATGAAGAGCAGAGATTACACACCACACCTCCACACTTAAGCCACCGAATCAGTCCACTTGGCGGATGTTGCCTTTTTGAAGTCGCTATCCCCTTCTTATAAACACCTTTTCTCTTCCACCAATGCAACGAATTAAAAACCTGGACTATTGCTGAATGGAACATTATGCCAACGTCTTTGGTTTCATCGTCAATGTTGTTGCGCCCAAATTTGGCGATTTCCCCGACAAAACAGGGTTAGAATGGCTTCACATAAGGGGCGCGATAATTACATAGTTCATGATCACGTAATAATCATGTTTTAAGACAGCCCAAAATACCTGGCAATCTCTGCACTTGGTTTGAACGGGTTTCGAACATGGACGTTGACAATAACGCAATTCAGACGTCGAGGCCTGTCTCGGACTATTCTAGTGGTGTTAAAAACCCGTGTGCAAGCGTCAGATGGTTCTCCAGGGCACATTTACGTGTCTTGCAGCAGCACAAAGCCCAATTTCAGAATTTCTCATACAGACAGCGAGTTCATGTTCTGCAATTGCCAGGTTGTTTTTTTTTTATTAGAATGGGTGAACAAATGACCTAAGTGTTTAAAAGTACTGATTATTATAGTGTGTAAAGTGTGCTTGCAGATTTTCTGTGTGATTCAAAGCAAATTTTGTGGCAATGAATCACATACGCGATCAGGTCGGGTCGGGTCGGGTCGCTTTGCGCCCTCAATTTAGCTAGCCCTGACTACCCGATGGGCCCGACG